AGAAGTTGTAATGGTCCTATGGTTGAAGTATAAAGTTTTGGTTTGAAAGAGCTTTTTACTTGTTTTCCAAATTGACAAGCGTCACAAATTTTGTCCTTTTCAAATTTCAAATTCGGTAAACCTTTTACAAAACAATTTCTAGAAATTTTTGAAAGAAGATCTATGTTTACATGTCCAAGTCTTCTATGCCATAACCATGATTCTTCTTTCAAGTTTAGTAAACATTTTTCGTTATTTTCCAATTCAATTTATAATATAAACATCTTTACTTCGGCTTCCTATAAAAATTACCTCTTTCGATGTAGCATCCTTAAATAAGGCATTTGGAAGAATCGAATTTTATGTTATAACCTTTGTCACATAATTGACTAATGCTTAGCAAAGTATGTTTAAGATTATCAACGAGTAAAACATTTTCGATAGAGGGGGATGAGTGGTTACCAATGTTTCCAATGCCGATTATCTTACCTTTGGCATTATCTCCAAAGGTCACATGACCTCCATCATTCTCTTGAAAATTTGATAATAATGATCGTTCACCGGTCATATGCTTCGAGCATACACTATCCAAGAACCATTTACTTTTTATTTTCTTTGGTACCTACAAAGACAAATTAAGTTTTGACTTTTGGTACCCACACAAATTTGGGTCCTTGATAGTCAATTTTTGTGGACTCTTGTATCCAATTATATTTGTTCTCAAAGAATAATTTCTTTTTAGTTACACAATTAAAAGCAATATGTCCATTTTTATTACAAAAGCTATATGAAATATTTGAAGCCTTAATAAATATATTTTTGAGTGATTTTTGTTTTAGAGAGGGTTTATATCCAATTCCTCCTTTATCAAAAACACACTTTTGACTACTGAGCATTAAATCAAAATTTTTCTTACCTTTGGTAAACTTATGGATAATCTGTGTTAAATCATTGACTTTTTCTTTTAAAGAGTGTTTTCTTTTATCAAAAGGTTATGATCAAAACTCACTTTTTGCTTTTCGGAGATTTTCTTAATTTCTTCATTCAAAATAAAGTTTTTCTTTTTAAGAATAGCGTGATTTAAAGCAAGTTTTTCAAAATTTTCAAGCATCTCATCATAAGAAATTGAAAGCTCATCATAAGAACATATCTTGTCTTAAATTGCCATGAAGCACTTATTTGCCACTTCATCTTGATTATCATTCCCATTTTGTATTTCGTCGTCGCTATCATCCCATGTGGCTTAGAGTGCCTTTTTCTTGAAATTTTTCTTTTTGTTTGGACACTCAGCTCTCTTGTGACCCGGCTTGTCACAATCATAGCAAACAATCTTTTTGTTCCTATCTTCCATTTTTCTTCTTTCTTTTGGAATCTTCGATTATTACGAAAACCTCTCCATTTTTTGACAAGAAGAACCAAATCATCAAGTTCTTCATTGCTCATATTTTCATTTGATGTTCCTTCTTCAATTGTCGATTTTAAAGCAATTTGTCTTTTAGGAGGCTCCTTTGATTCTTCCTTACTTTTTCTCGTTTTCTCCTTAACCTCGATATTGTTTAGCTCATAGGTCATCAATGTGCTGTAGAGCTCCTCCAAAGGATATGTATTTACATCCTTAGTATTTTCGATCAACATTCTCAGTGGACTCCATTCCATTGATAAAGACCTAAGCATTTTACTCACAAGTTCACCGTTAGTAAATTTACGATCAAAATCTTTAAGACCATTTATAATATCGGTAAAACGAGTAATCATGTCAACAATACGCTCATTTTGTTTCATAAAGAAATTTTAAAATTCTTTAACTAGCATATTTATCTTTGTTTCCTTAACTTTACTTGTGCCAACATGAGTAACTTCAAGAGCATGCCAAATATCATATGCCGAATCATATGTAATAATTTGATTAAATTCATTTCTATCAAGTGCACAATAAAATAGATTTTTAGCTTTGGCATTTAATGATAGTTTTCTCTTATCTTCATCATTGTATTCTTCTCTAGATTTGGGGAGAGTTTGTTCCGATCTATCATCTACTTTAATAGTTTTAGTAGGAGCATATGGACCATATTCTATAACTTCCCAAACATTGTAACCAATAGATTGAACATAAATCATCATCCTAGCTTTCCAATAGTTATAATGTGTACCATCAAAGAAGGGAGGCCGGTTTGTAGAGTGTCTCTATTTTGAAAAACTTGGTTAGCCATTACTCAAGATTGTAGAATAAAAAAAAAAATACCAAGCTCTGATACCAATTGAAGGCCCAAGAATAACTAACCAAGAGGGGGGTGAATTGGTTATTTGAAACTTTTTCTAAAATAAACGCAAATTTAAGCAAATAACTATGAATAAACAAGACAACACAAAAGTAATAAGAGAAAGGGAAAAGAGAATGCAAACGATGTAATAAGGAGGTTCGATCCAATCACGATCTACGTCCCCCGTTACCAAGCTCTCCGTCACAAGGAAGGCCTTTTTCACTAACTTTGATTGACTTATGGTGCAATCCAACCCTTACAATGCTACCGGTGACTTGCAACTAAGGAGCACTGATCCTTTTACACGTTGAGCTTTCTGGGACCTCAACTTGACCAACAAGAAAATCAAAGTTACAATTGAAAGGTTTTTCTCTTAACAAATGATATGAAAACAACTAAATATTAAGAGAGAATTAGGCACAAACATTTCAATAGATCACAAAGAATATAGCTCAAGTTGTGTGAAAAACTTTTATTGAGATATATGATTTTTGAAAAAGTTACTCACTCAAAAAGTTTTTCAACAAATAAATAATTTGATCTCTTAAAGATTGAAAAATAAGGTAGATAAGATCAATAAATAACCCTCTCTAATATTCTCAAAGTTTGCATTAAAAGAGGTATAAAGAGAGGTATTTATAGCCATCAATCAGGAGATCCGGACAAGTGATTCGGACGTTCGCTTGTTATCCGGACGATTAACTAGCCGTTTGCCAAACGGTTAAAAAATGTGATCGTTGGACATCGCATCCGAACGTCCGGATGAGCCAACTATATTCCCATCAAATTTTCCTTTTTCGTGAAAAATGTTCTTTAAGAAACTTGTAGGGTTTTCTAATGTACTTCGTATAGATAAGTAATTTTATAAGAATTTAATTGTGAAAAATCAAATTAATTATCTTTTGAAAATAATTTTTATGCAAGTAAAGTTTGTATGATAATTTTCGTGCATAAAAATTGTTTGAGCTATAATCGATGCGAGATATTAAAATGTTTTACCTTTACACTTGAGTATACAAATGCATTTATAGCTAATGTCTTCAATTTCTTCATCCAATGTAATTTGGTGCGTGAAAGCTCGATTTTCATTTCCTTGTTCGTAAATATTGTGTGTATATCATTTTGCGCCAAGGTTGCATGATTCCCGATCTAGATCTTTCGTGTTATAATTTTGCAATAATCACTATTAGTTACTTAAGTTCAACTTGTTAGAATTAAACGCAATTTATTTGTAATAATCAAAACAAGAAGTCAACCATTAGGTCAACAGAAAGGCCCTCAGTGGTTTTCGAAGTTCCTCGATTATGATGGTAGAGGGATGGATGGCTGAAGATACACATTTGATTTTCAGAGTTCCTAAAGATACACATTTGATTTGAAGAGTGTTTTCCCAACAGATTGAAACCAAGGCAGAAAATATAGTTTTTGCTTACATCAAATTGAACTCAACTTTTCTCTCCATCCAATCCCCCAAATATTGCAGTCCTCCTTACATTAAAATGGCAAAAAAAAATAAAAAAATAAAGAGCAAATAAGCAAAATGCAAAAACTGACGTTTTCAGCAAAAACTGTCCAATTACTCCCTCATTAACGAATATATGGAGTTCAGTCCAATCATCAAACCCCTAACAAAGGGTGCACAAACTTCTTTACAAATAACCTCACAATTACAAAGGATAAATCATGCAAAAAAGTTCACTTGTCATTTGAGATTCCAACATCATTGTGAAACGACGTTCTTGGATGAGTAATTGGGACAACGTTGGACAAATTTGCCAAGTGCGTTGCTCTCGGAAAAGAATCTAAACCTTGAACCTGAAAGAAGGGGAAAAATAACATAACACATGAGACGCTAAATTCGGTCTAACAACATTATGGTCTAACATCCAGATTCACTAAAATGAACTTGAAGAAAATTGTATGCCATTTAGCTCGTCCCAGTCACTGCAACTTCAGGATGCAGTAAATTCGGGTTAGCAAAATACGCACCTAAATTAAACTTTGGGTTAGCAAACACATGAAAGAAGGGGAAAAATGGACTGTTAATTATGATTATGTAAACACGTGTTCACCTTGTGAATTGAATACAACATTAGAAGATGATAATGAAAGTTGCGTACACACTTGACTTTCGAAGTCACCCTATGTCCAATACCAACATAATTAGAAAATAAAAATATAGAAACTATGAAAATAAATTACGCTTACTGACCAACAGAAGCTGTGAATACGAGAATGGTGTTGGCTGCGAATGTTGAAGTTGTTGAGATTGCTAGACTTCAGGTGCAGCCTCTTCCATATCAATACGCCTATCTCTCAGTCACTTTCCTTTGTCTGACTTCGAACTTGCCTGCACATTCATGGACAAAATTCAAATTTTGTGGTGGAGTTCGCATGTACTTGAAGAGATTAATAGGGAAAAATACCGTTACCTTCTTTGAAATAGACTCCAACGGGCCTTTTTTCCTAAGCTTTCTTGGCGCGCCCTTTTTGTTTGACGAGTTAGGATTCAACACACTCACACCAGTGGTATTTCGTGATCCAATACACTGTGTGGCACCCTGAAAATTTTGCTGGGGAAGGACATTACTACCACCCCTCGATCGAGAAGTCCTCAACTCTGTTGTTTGGCATTTTATCCAATCCATTATTGCCCCAGCCCACCCTTCGTCACTCGCAGCGAGGTTTGCCACCTCTGAAAATGCTTGACACATATCATCATATCTTAATTGTTTAGGCGTACTAACCAACCGGCGTAGTTCACTGCGACCCTCGTATGTGCCCTACTGACATCTCTCCTCCACCGCCGCAATATATACTTCTCTTCATTCGTGTCAATTCATTACGGTCGAACACTGTGATCGCATGCCTACAAATAACTCCTTGAAACTCAAACAGGTGGCAACTACACATCACTTCACTAGTGTCCCTCTGAAATGAGATGAGAAATGTTTTCTTCTTCCTACCCTTGAGGTATACTGTAGACTCCCGAACCTCGTACTTCACCCAGTCCAATCTCTCTACTTCTGAAGCGACATCACAATAAATCTTTCCTACAAACTCATCCTGAACTTCCTTGAATTTTGAAATTGTGTATACTAATTGAAATTGTTTTTCCATCTCAAAACTTGTTGCACACGGAACCATCTGCGAGTATGATTTGAAATCTGCCTGGAACTCTTTTTCAACCTTATTCCTTAGTGCTCGTTCATACTGTTCAACGAACTGCTTCAAAGAGGTCTTCGAATGGACGTATCCATCAAAAAATACATTCATACTTTCACTTCGTTGTGTTGTAGACATCCCGGCCCAGAAAGTTGTTTTCAAAAAGTAAGGCACCCAACGACCTCGATTTTCGTACAATCCAAACAACCAATCATTATCATATAACTTAAACTCATTGATCATGGCTCTCCAACCTTTTTCAAATTCATCAGCAGCTTTCGAGTCATATACCAAACGATGTATAGTCGAGAATATCAAACTTTTATCAATGTGTTACCCACTTCTCTGGCGATTTCTTCATAATGTGCCACATACACCATTTATGTCTAGTATTCAGAAATACAATCTCACTTGCATTCTGCATGGCTTTGTCTTGATCGGTAATTATTCCACATGGAGGTTGATCATACATGCACTGAAGCTACATCCTAAACAGCCAAACAAATGTACTTGTATTCTCATTTGATAACAAGCCACAACCAAGCAGTGTTGATTGTCCGTGATGATTCACACCAACAAAAGGTGCGAAAGGCATGTCGTACTTATTCGTCAAATAAGTGGTATCAAAGGTTACAATATCACCGAACTCCTTGTAAGCTTGCCTATATCTATTATCTGCCCAAAATACATTCTTAAGCCGAGACTCGTCATCCAAATCCATAGCGAAGTAAAACCCTGAGCACCGTGCTTGCATCTGTGAAAAGTAAGATTGTAATGCTGCTGCATCTCCCTCTCCAAGTCGTAACAGTCTAACTTGTTCAATATAATTTTGACAATCTTTTTCAATGCAGGTCATATTCTCATACCCACCTGCCTCTACAATTGCAGAGTTGAAACTTTTGTACAGTGGAATTCCCACTATGTCATTCAATTCAAGCTTTCGTTTTACATTTGCACTTAATTCCTGATTGCACCGAAACATCCTAGACTTCGAAGGACTTGTCTTATGGTTGTGCTCGAGGTTGACGGTGTTAATTCTCCATGTGCCATTATAGTTTGCAAATGCAGATATCCGTGCTTTATAATCTGTTTGACTTGTTGGTTGCGGCCTCAAGGCACTGTTTGTATTACTAGACCTTCGGCCTTCATGACTACATGTAAATGTCACAAATCTAACAATTCCATCATCCCCCTTTTTAGAATTTCTTTTTCTTACTGGAAAACCAACTGTATAGGCATATTGCTTATAGAAATCAAACAACTCCTTTTCATCTTTAAATGTCATACCCACCTCGGGCACAATCTCTCCATCTCCTCTCAAGGTGTCGTTATCACAACGTTGATATTGTCCGAAACTATCTCATTATCGGATTGCATGAAACCATTTTCATTCCCGGGTTCCATAATTTCGCACTCTGCGTCCAAGTAGAAAGATAATGTTTAGCAAAATAAAAAGCAATGATAGAAACGAGAAGCAATATGATGAAGTACTTCAACTAACTTGTTCAAGGAAAATGGAAGTTTAAGCGTCAATAATTAGTCTCAAATAAAAGATAAATCGGTCCAAACATTTCACCTCAAGTTCCTGAAAATTGTTGGAAAATACATGTCAAACGAAACATAATTCAAAGTCAGGTTTTCATTACATGACAACTTTCTGCATCATAATATACATGAAATGTTAGATAATATCTCATGACAACATTGATCATGCAACCGAGAACAGAGAAATTGTATGTCCCTCTCTGATAATCTACCTTTTCACGTGCAGTAGATTTATGTGTGTATATAGAAAAGTGTAGATAAAAACTGCCCTTGTTAGTTTCATTTTATATGCTTGCTCATGGACCATGATTTATCATTTTTCCTACAATTTGATATGTTTATCAGGTTTTCTTCATGCAATTTTGATATGTTTATCAGCAACTAAATAATTAGTGTTATTTGTAATCTGTTAACTGATAAAAATGGACAAGTTTGCTTTTCGTTCCATATTTCTCTTATTAATGACGCTGCTTTATTTTTTGTTTTAGTTATTGATCAATGGACAAGTTTGTTGTCAGAAAGCCTAGACAGGAGCACAGTTTGATTACTAAAGAAAGTGATGATTCACAACATTCTAAATATGGAAGCATTGAAATTGATTTAGAAAGTCTTCCAAATTTCAGATTATCATTCTAATGATAGAGATGAAATCCAAAGAGTCTATTTGTTGAGAGGTCCGTGTCAACCCGGTACAGTGAGTATCAAGTTCAAGGCTTTACAGTGAGTACATTTGTTGTACATAGTACTAATCGAATCTCTATATTGGACAAGGCTCTCATCCTGTGCTCAAATCCTCTTTGCCAAACATGCCATAAGTTTACGACGTATGAATACATCCCAAGTGCATCTACTTCTAATGCAGATAATTGACTATGATATGGAGAAACCAACAGTAGATTATTAAACATTCATGAGAACACTACAGCTGAAATTTCAATACACGGTAAACTAAACGGACTGACACCGACACTCCAGTAAAGTACCGAAAAAAGGGATGAAATCTCATGATGTTAAATATACTTAAAAACTTTAGTTGTTCACTATATGACAAAATCAAATGTTCCCCTGTTTAGTTCGTATTTACGGTCTAACACAAAATCAAATGCAACTCCAATAAATAACTTCATTTATCCACTTATTGTTTACTAGTAAACTGTACAAGAATAATGAAGTACTTAAAACTGGATATTTGGAGAGAACCTGAGGTTCTGCTGTCCTCTTTCCGGTGAAGTAACCTGATTAGTTAAAGGAAACGAAAATTGCACACGTGGAAGGCCTCACAAGAATAATGAAGTACCTGAAGCTGGAACTTTGGAGAAAACCTGAGGTTCTGCTCTCCTCTTTCCGATGAAGTAACCCGACGAGTTAAAGGAAACGAAAATTGCACACGTCGAAGGCCTCTTTCACTTTCCTTCACAGTCTAGCTAAAGATTGCTAACCGGCGCATTCACCTTCGACCGGTAAGATTCACAGGCAGGGGACGCAGCTTCGTTTCCTCTAAACCTAACTAAGGCTCTGTTTTTGGGAAGAAATTATGAGATGTCTTCCCTCCTTTTTTTTAACACTATGGTTTCCCGCCCTTTTCCTTTTTTTTAGTGGCCACGTCATTTTCCTTCCAAAGTTCTGTAAAGGGTCTGTAGCTTTACTCTGTACGTTTAGCATTTTTCTATTCCAATTTAAGGCAACCTTACTAGATACTTGAGGTCTTATATTGTTTCTTCAACAAGGCATTTAACTGATGCTCCAATTTGTCAATTCTGATAGGAATGTGTAGCACATTCCTGTTTGTCATGATTTTTTTGGGGTTTTCGTATACCTAATGTGTGACTAGATTATGGAAACTGGTTTTATCGTGAGCCATTTGGTCTTGTGTATCGTGATATTTTTTGGGGGTTGCCGTATTCCTGTTGTGTGACTAGGCACTACAGATCCTTCGTGTATCACTAAATCAATAATTTATTTGTTTGAAAATCTTTCAACATCTTTTTAAATAGTATCAACTTAAATGAAATTCTAAATTCTACTTTTGAACTGTGATCTTGTCACGTGTTACACTAAGTTCCAACAAACCAGGTATCAAGCATCGAAACCATACGAGAGTATGTGCTTTGGATTAATACAAGGCCCTAGCTCTCATCTTATTATTCGATCCATGATATATACTGTTCTCAATCAACGCTCCTTCTACTTCAATTATCACTTCACTATCAAATCTTGTCAGTCTTACTCTGAGCATTTATTTGTACTATTTCTACACCTTTAAGCAGTGTCTAGCTGGTGGTGTGCAACCCAAAACTCATTTGTCACGCAAAATGGAGTGGTAATCAAGTTTTTTCTTGAAATTTCGGCCAATTATCAAATCATCTGGCAATAATGATGCAATTTGTTTGTTTGTTAATTCATTCCAGTTTGTTTTTAGGAGAGTTTAATTTAAGAACCTGTTAAGTAGTCTCATTAATAAAGTGAATATTTTACTGGAGAACATGTGCTTCGTCGGCATCCTGTATTCCTTTTATTTATCCTCCTCATGTCTCTGTCATCTTAATTGGAAAGCATAAAATAGAAAGATTTTCATTGTGCGCGTTTGACTACTAAGAGTTGAGCAAAAATGTTCAGAAAAGAAGTTTCTACTTTGTTACTGGGGCAAAAAGGAATTAAGAGCTTGATGGCGACAGATGGGATTATTCACTAGTGTAATATCCCCTACAGCCAGTTCCTCTCCTTCTTACGAGTGCCACATATTTCCAGCACTCCACTGGCCAAAATTTCTGACTTTCGCCTACATTATCTGAATAAAGAACCGAGAATAGAACATTAGTTCATCTTACCATCTTACCATCTGATACTCTGTTTTAGATCACGCATGAGGCTGGTTTTATTTTTGCATGTAGATAGGTAATTATATCCCTTCAGGCATTGAATGTGTGATGTTTAAAATGAAGACCATTCAATCTCGTGTGTGCCTTTAGTGCATACAAAGATCATAATGAACAAAATGGTAGCTTCTTTTTCTTTCTTAGTACTGTCTACTACTATTTAGTTATCCATACCAAACACGGTTTTAGAAGCTTATACTTTTTATATTCACCATGCCTTCAAATGCTACTATGCCCCCAAAAAAAGGGGAATAATTTTTGGAATTTGGTTTAAAGAGATAAATTTGGTAAAAACATGACTTTCATGTCAATTTCGGTCAAATATTCGGACTTGATCTGACAGTCAAATTATGACAATAAATAGAGTAATTTATTCTACTTGAGCAAATGGTCATGGTTTATTTGGAAACTTAAAACCAATTCCGGATGAATGAGAAATTGTTGGGGAATACACCGATTCAAATGTGCATATTATATTCACAAAACGTAACTTACACGTTCATGAAATCGAAACAAGGTGTCGACTTATCGAAATGTAGTTTGAGAAACTAACAAATGATTATTGAATCTGACAATTTCCATTCTTGAATTAAAACATGTGATTCTTCATATCGAACCTTGCATAAACTATATAAATAAAATTAATCATTTTCTGAAATCAAGTATGAAGAAATGTAATCAGAAATAAGAAAAAATTAGATACAAATGATGCTATTGGCCGAGGCAAGTATAACTCTTTCCTTAAGATGAATTTGTCCCACATCAGTGCTAACAGTTTTTCGACAATCATCTCCCAAGATACAACGACACGTCAAGCCATAGGAGCACTCCAAATGGCTTCGACCAATGAACTCGAACGGAATTCCCTCTCTACCATAACAATGATTTTGACGCAAAAGATAATCACTTCTACAAAGTGTTTTATGTAACTTAACATGAAATGAATAATATGGAATTATGGAATGAATTGGAATGACAAATACACATCCAATGGGTCCTATATATAGAAGATTAAGGGTTGTCGGTGAAGGGACACACCCCAAATCCAGCTTTTTTCATGAAAAATTGCAACACTTTATATCAAACTTGCATCCTTTCGAAAAGTTGCAACACTTCATTCTTCCAACTTTGGACTGCAATTTCTCATTCATCCGGAATTGGTTTCGAGATTCCAAATATACCACGACGATCTACTCGACAAGTAGAATAAGTTGGTCTATTTACTTTTGTAATTTGACCATCGCATCAAGTCCGAACATTCGACCGAAATTGACACGAAGTCACACATTTTCATTTTCCCAGTTTTAAACTTAACCAATTTTTGGTTAATTTTTGAACCAATTCCAACAATTCCCTCATGAATGGAAATTCGAGTATGCAAATGTAATGCTATGATGTAATGCAAGTAGAGAGAGAGAGAGAGAGAGAGAGCAGAAAGCCACTGCATCGGGAATAGTAGCTTCTGGCCTTGATCCTCTCGTAGTGAATTACCATCGGACTTACTCGGCTAATTGGTGAACGTGATGTCTTGAACCATTCAGCGTTTAGTGTAAACCAAAACAACGATACTTACACATATGTCTTTCCTAAACCATTCATGATTCTCATGACTTCGTTCATTTTGGTTCTGAATCCTTCTTGGTTCTGCAAGTGTTCAGAGAATTCAAGCCTTGAATAATTCTCATTGAAGCGGCCCCACTTCACACTTACATAGGTGACCTCCTATTAAGAGTATTTTACCCTACTCCACTTGACTTAATCAAAATATAGGAATCATTAAAAGATTACCTTAACCTCTTACAACTCTGCAGAAAACACTTTTATATCATAGGAATGAGTTAGGAAACTATTTTCCTTAGTGTTT